TGCGGCGGCGAACGCGGCGGCGAACGCGGCGGCGAACGCGGCGGCGAACGCGGCGGCGAACGCGGCGGCGAACGCGGCGGCGAACGCGAGCGCGGTTCCCCTCTCCCCGCGATACCCGCATCACCGACGCGGTATCCCTCTTCCCCGCGCATCCCGCACCCACGACGCGGTTCCCTCTTCCCCGCGGATCCCGGACCTACAACGCGGTTCCCCGCCCCACGCATCCCGCACCCACGACGCGGTTCCCTCGCCCCCGCGGATCCCGCATCTACGACGCGGTTCCCTCTTCCCCGCGCATCCCGCATCCACGACTTCGCGGTTAGGCCAGCTGAGCGAGCGGCTTTCCGCGGCTTCCCCCTCCCCGCGGACCCCCCGCGGACCCCCCTCCCGGGGACCCCCCTGCCCCTCACCCCCCCTCATAGCCCCATGGATTAGAACCCGCCCTTACTAACTACTAATATTCAATTTAATATACTTTTTACCTTGCGTAGGGGTCTGTCTAATCTTTTCGGTATCTATTATTTTTAGTATGTTGTAGACTTATCTATTTAGTAAGGCGAAGATTTAATAGATATACTTTACAACGCGAAGCGAGGTTTCACATGGGTTTATAACTTTTATGCGAAGTAAGATTTTACGTCCCCTAAAGATCTCCTAAAGTGAATAATTACCGTTTATTTTTATAACTTTTTTTGTTAATTAATGTTTAACAAAAGACAAGCAATAGCTAAAACCTTTTAATGGTTACTCAGGGTCATGACCTTAACAACATATCTCCAAGTCAAGGTCATTGGAGCTGGGTTCCCTATTCGGCAGTTTTACCATAATAATAATAATAAAATAAAATAATATGTTACAGGTCCTCTTACAGATATGAATCATCCATTTCATTTACATGGTTATAGTTTCTGCGTAATGTATGCTGGTCAATTTAACAACGCACGTAATAAAGATGATATAACAAATGAAGATGTAGCCCAAGAAATAAATGCTCACATGAATCGCTTGCAAAGTGGTTATTATCAAAATTGTGCTCCTAAAGATACTGTAATCGTACCAAATACTGGTTTTGTCATCATACGATTTAAAGCAGATAATCCAGGTTAGTAATCTTATTACAAATCTGTATAAATATTCATTATTGTAAAGAAGGGTGTTACGAAAAGACCGATTTTTGCTTTGCTCGCGAAAAATAAAATTGAGTGAGAAAGTTTCTTATAGTTTTTGAGACGAGGAATCCAATGGTACTAGTTAAAATAACGTCATAATTCGGGAATATATCGAAAATTGAGTTTAAAGTCGGAAAAATGCGCGGCGTCGCAGTCATTCGCAAGATAAGTCGCTACGCTGCTTGTTTCGATTATATGTAGTGTGTACATTATGTTTTTATCATTACAAATGAAGAATTTGTTATAAAAATGCTATATTTAATAGCGAAAATATCGAGCGTAATGGAAAGTTCCATGCGCCTGCATGAACATTTTCGAGTCGCGACTACACCCACCCAGCGGATCGCCGTGCGTCTTCCGAGTGAATCACGCATTTTTCCGACTTTAAACTCAATTTTTGATATGTTCCCGACATGTGATGTAATTTTAACTAGCACCATTGGATTCCTCATCTCAAAAACTATAAAAAACGATGTTAATTTTATTTTCCACGAGTGAAAAAATTGGCCTTTTTATAACACCCTTCTTTAACTTTTATCATAAAATATCACAAAATTACATTATTTTTATGAAGTAAACTGTAAAAAAAGTAACATACTGCTATTATTTTATTAATCTTTGGTTGTCACTAGCGACTCCAATATTTGACTTTGGAGACGGATATTTCGAAGTACAGCTCTGAATGATATTATCTGAAAGATATTAGAAATATCATCGACTAGAGGTAGTGAAGTATTTTTTATAGGCAGAGACGCTGTGCAGCTGTAAGGATCTGTCAGTGCATGTTTAACAGCCGGTAAAAGTTGACGAAGATTGTGACTCCAGGTCACATTAATCCCTGTGTGACAAAGACGTTGCTTTTAATCATGATTGAAAATCGTTTTCTGTGCAAAATTTATCTATAAAATATAAATGTAATGTGTGGGAGTCGAAAATTTGTTTTTTTTTACAATAATCTATTAGAAAATTCAATCTCTCACACACACACACACACACACACACACACGCACACGCATTCGCGATATGTGTACGTGCGTATGCAGGAAGGAGGAAGAAAAAGAGAGGGAGGAAGAAAGAGGAAATAGGAAGTGAAGAGAGAGAAAATGAGAGAGAAAAGTTTCAAGGAAGGGAAAGAAAAGAGAGAGAGATAGAAGTTTGGTTGAAGGAATGAGGCAAGGAGAGAGGAAGAGATACACAGACACGCGATAAATTCGATTAGGTAAATTCCACGCGATACATCTTGGGTAATGCTGATGCAAGTACTGTAACTTTCAAGTTTTATAATTATAACTCGGAAAGTACTTTATAAAAATCTTATTATGGCGTTTTACGAAACTTTTGACGTTAACTATTAAATTCTGGAACCAAAAATAGGATGTTTCATTAAAAAAAAGTCAATGCAATCGACTTTGACAACACCCAAGGTAAAACTAATATGATTAGTCAACAGAAAATATTTATTATTGTAAACCCTACTTTTGTCTAAAACATTCTTTTTAGAAATGCCTAGTTTTTAAAATATTTCAGGAACCTCGTACTTTTGACACGCCCTACATGTATATACGTAAGTAAGATCGAATAAGGGCGGAGAATCAAAATAAATTTATAAAATTTGTGACGATCCGCCCCCCGCCTCGTCACCACAAGGGGCCGACCAGCCGCCCCTGGCGCTCAGCGCCACAACTCCGACTAACA